GGTGTACCTAATAAAGTGGCCGGTGATATTGACTTAATAAGAAATAGAATTTTAATTAAACATAACTAAATAGACATTTCACACAGCTATCTTGAATATATCTCAATATATTTGAATCCCTTGCCCTGTTTTTTATTTCATGCTTTTCTGTGCCCCGATGAAAAAACACTGGCCCCCTTCTGGCCCCCTGGAACATTTGGTCTAGAACCGCCACTGCTGACAGTCAACCCTGAAGAGCTACGCAGCCACTTTCTTAAAAAAACTGTTCTTCCTTCTGAGAAATCAGGAGTTATTAGGAAGCAGATCCATTATTCAACGGTTTCTGCTCAAAGGGAAACCACCAAGTCGACTGAAACTCTGATGTAAAATCTGATTATAGTTCATTCCTCAGCTGTTTGCTGTGGTTGTCTGACAAGTTTCTGTTAAAAAAACAAACAAATAAAAAACAGAAAACAACCTTCTGCTGAACAGGAATCTTAACAATCGGCAGCGGTTGTTGAATCAGACAAGATTTTTGTATTAAAAACATCCTAATCATAATTTATTACAATGGTGACTGACAGGACGCCCTGAAAAGAAATGATCTAAAAATAAGTAAACATATCTTGAATTGAGTAGATCTGCCAGCAGAATAAGTATTTATGCCCTTTAAAATAAGAAAATTTGGTATTATAAACTAAAAACAATAAGTATTTTTTATTGAAAACACAAATAACTTTTAACATTGGCAATGTGTCTCACTTATCTGCACTTTTTTGTTTAGATAAATCGGTTCTTGCTATTTTTATTTTCTTCTCATTGAACTTTATTAATCTCACACTGGATAAATGTACCTCTACATTTAACCCGTCCCCTCAGGGAGCAGTGGGCTGCCATTGTGCGGCGCCTGCGGAGCCATTTGGGGTTTAGGGTTGTTAAAGGCTCTGGTTCTACACCTTGGAGCTCTATCTCTCCGGTTCTTTTTCCCGAAAAGAGATCACCCAGGACAAACTCTTTAAATAATATTTCATAATTTATATGTATTAAATAACCAGGAGACTTGACAACAGATTCTGATAGAAATTGTAATCTTATTCAGATCAGAGAAGTTGCTTAGAGTTACAGAAGGCAGCTGCTCACCTCTCAGGAAGCGGCCCCGATTAACAGTTAAATATTTTATACATCTCCAGTCGGCCACATCATCAAATTTTTCACAGCATAAAATGGAAATCTAAATGAGTCATTCTTGCTTATATTAAGTGCATTTTTTCTTGAATTGAAGAGGTAAATGACACACTTTGCCAATGGAACAAGACAATTTACATTTAAAATAAGAAAAAACAATTGCTTTGTCTCATTTCAAGTGCATATTATCTAATTATCTTATTTTAGGAGTAAAAATACTCCTTCCATTGGCAAAGTATCGTATTTATCTGCTAAAATTAAGGGTAAATACACTCAATTTAAAATTTGTTTTTACTTATTTCTAGATGTTTTTTGCAGTGAGATGAGGAGGCACACTACAAAAACAATCTAGAAATAAGTGAAAATGTCTGAAATTAAGTGTATTTACTCTTAACTTGAGTAGGTAAATGAGATAGTTTGCCAATAGAATTGGTATTTTTACTCTTAAAATAAGATA